CACGTGATTTTGTGGTTACCACTCAGCTCTGCCATCATAGCATCAAAGTAGCCATAGATAATCTATCAATGGCTGGGTGTATTCCCACAAAATTTTACTTCCAAAACAAGCTGCAAGCCAGATTTTATTATCCTGTGGGTCATAGTTTGAAGATGACTGTTCAAGATAAATAAAAACTCCATTATTGGAGCTTCCATATGACCCAGTAATCCCACTTCTAGGTATCTACCCCAAAGACACAATAACACTGATTCAAAAAGACACTTGCACCTCCACGTTTATTGCTGCTATATTTATATTAGGAAAGACAGGGAATCAACCCAGATGCCCAAAAGTAGATAATTGGATTAAAAAGATGTGGTACATATACACAATGGAATATTACTCAGCAATCAAAAAGATAAACACATGCCTTTTGCAGCAACATGGATGGACCTGGAAGGGATCATGCTTAGTGAAATAAGCCAGAAAGAAAAGGAAAAATACCGGATGGCTCAGCTCATAGCAGGAGCATAAAGGACCAGGGGGAAAAATAATAATAATAATGATACCAGAGACATTTTACACTATGGCAGCGCTTATTTTTATTTTGATTTTACTCTTTTCCTCCCAGACTTGTCTGGCCATTTCTGACCCTTTTCTATGTGTCCCAGCCAGAAGGTGCTTTAGGCTTGTCATGGGCTTTTAGGCCTTGCTTTGGGTCAATCCCGTTTGGGTAGACTTTGACCCACAAGAAGATGGATAACTTTGGGTGTTTGATTTAGAAACTATATTCTTTGTCTTTTCAGTATTGCACACTCATTGTACTAAAGTTCCGTCCATTAAAGGTCTTATATGTTTTGTCTTGATGTGGCAGATGGCAGAACCTCTTTAGAGCAGGCAGGCTTGGGGGCTTGGTGGCGCCCTCTTCCCTACCCTGTAACATAACTAGCTACCAATATCAGCTAGAAATGCTCAGATAATCATAAGATGTTTGCACAATCTGGCTATTTTTCCTGTCCTTGGCATGTCCTTTTTTTTTTTTTTTTTTCTTAAGGGATTTTACTTACTTATTCATACAGAACTGGGGTACAGGCCAGAGGTGCAGAGGGTGAGACAGGAGAGGTTTACTGTGCCATGTAGCTCACCACCCTGGTGAGGTATGGAACGCGTGCTGAAGTGGCTACAGCTAGCTTTGTAGTGCTTTGTAGTGCTGCACTTTAACCTGTAGTGCCAGCAGGGAGGGCCTGTTATGTTCTTGTTCCCAGTTTCCTGGCAAGTACATGCTATCAACGCACAATAGCACAAGCAGCCTCTCCAATAAACAGGGGGCTCCTGCTTCTGTGGGGTAATTTCAGAGAAGCAAGGGTGCATCAAGATGTTTGAAATCCCACCATTAGAGATCAACCAAACCCGCCTTTCTGGAAGATAGCCTTTCTGATTCATTTGATCCAAACAGCTTCATGTTCTGTGGAAACATGTTGAATATAAGTTTGAATACATGGAGCTGTGAGGTGGCATCAGATCATTGTCATCTGTACCTTCTGTGCAAGCTCAGGTTATATTGGTTGTATTTATTTACTGAATGCAGAGGGCCTAATGGTGCCAATTTTCTAAGATGGTAAGAAAGTAGTGGTCCCAAAGTGAAAATTAAAAAAATAAAGAATTAAGAGACTAAACCAAGGCCAAATATACCCTTTACCTGTAACATAGATTTGCCTAGTACCAGCCCTGGCACCAGGGAAGTTCTGCCCTCTACATTGTATTTAGCAGTTCGGTTTCTCTAAGACAATGAAACATACAAATTGCATAAAATCTGATTAAGTCAGAAGGATTTGCTGGAGGCTTCATTTTCTACAGAAAACATTTGGCAGTCTTTTTCATCTACATCAACATCTTTTATATTCTTTTTCTATATTCTTTTACAGGTTTTATATGACAAAGTACAAAGCAATTGAAATCTCCATCCTCCTACACTAAGAGATACTAATACTTGAAGTTATTATGTATGTGCATGTATGTATATGTATTATTTGTGTGCATGATGTATATACATTGTTTTCAAGTCAGCGCTAGTAAACTTTGCTCTAAAAATATGTATATTCAACTATACTATATATAACAACTTGTAAACCATTTTCCCTGTTAAATCATCTTTTCTTATCATTTTAATATCTACAGAATATTCCAGTAGTTAGAAAATAATAATTTATTTAACTAATCCACCACTATCAGAAATTTAGGAGGTAACTAATTTTTATTTATTATAAATAAAATAATATCCCTCTTTTGTGACATTTGTGTATAGTGGTAGCAATGGTGCAGAAAAAGTCAAACATTTCACACGGTATCTGAGTTCACAGAGGATCCTGAGATCTCTAGAGAGCCTGACCCACCTCTTTGCCTGCCTGCCTGCTGCATCAGTGACAGAGAGTAGTTTAGATTAGAACTAGAGGACCCTCCCTGGTGGTGCAATGAGTTAAAGTACAGCACTATGAAGCACTATCCACAGCCACTGCAGCCTGAGTTCGATTCCCAGTCAGGGTAGTGACCCACATGGTGCAGCAGACCTCTCCTGACCTGCCCACTACTCCCCTCAGCAGTGCATTTCAGTAGATCAGCTTATTTTGCTCCCCACTCTATCTCTGATGAATCCTCTCACATCCTCGCACCTCTGGCCTGTACCCTAGTTCTATCTGCATAAATAAGCAAATCTTTAAAAAAAAAAAATTAGAACTAGAACTGCCAGCTTTCTGGAACCACCCTTTGTTTCCTAACATTTTACTGAAAGCATAACATCGTAGATATAAATTTTTTAAATTAATTTTTTTAAATAATAACTAATATCACCATGAGCTTTAATGTTTAAGGCCATTTAGCACAAAATAGTATTGTTAATCCAGATACTTTTTGTATATGGAAGTGTCCAAAAGGAAAATACATTATTTAGGACTTAGTTTCTTAATATGAAATATCAATAGAAATAGAGAAAAAGAGCTCTCCATGGGTAACAAATTGTCATACTGTTCTATATTTTCAAGCCTTTATTCTGTATATTAGCTTGCTTTTAATGAGAAGCTGACATGTCACCAGGACCACAACGTGCAGCAACGGCTTTCCTCATTAGAAATCCATGTCTAGTTTGAAGCATTTATTCAAAGAAATGTTTGAGAAAAGAAATCACTGTCATCCCAGGGAAAGGTTTCAAAGCCTTACAGGCTACCACTACAGGACTTGGTACACAGTAAATAATAGATTTCACCGAATATGAAAGGTAATAAAAAAAAGTTATCTCTGTGATCTTAGGGGGAAGGAGTAACTTAATATGGTGCCTCCATTTTTTATTTCTGAAGTATATATACCACCCTTCCACGTATTCATTCAAAGATAATGTAAGAAAAGCATTGACAATATTTTTCTCTTTCCATGGGAAAATGACTCCCCCTTCATGAAAAAGGCTTCAGGAGCAAGAGAGTTCGGTTTTAGACTAAGAAAGATGGTATGAGAATGAGATAGTGTAAAAAGATACACAGCGAACTTGTTGAAAAAACATTCCCAGAGACTCGGAAAATAGTATAAACAAGGACAGATTCGGCTTCCAGGTATAACAGCATCTCCAAATCCAGCAGTTATAATAATTAATCCAGACTAATTATTCCAGCCTCTGCTGGGAAGCGTTTGCTTTTGTAAAACGAACAGGTGGTTTTTCTAAAATACAGCAGACGTCACTGTCACTTGGAGCTCCAAGTGGAGCTATTTACTACTGGAATTGAAAGTCACATAGGATATCAAACCAAGCAGGGACAAGAGAATAGCATAAGTGTCCCCAGTGTGTACCAGCAACCCCAGCAGATGCTCCAGTCCAATCGCTGTCAGAGACAGAACGCTCTACATTGAGATAACACGATGGTGTTGCTGGTCTTACACTCCGTCTGGCCATCTGTCAAAATGCTCATCACAGACACTTTTGTCTTATATTGACTCCTTCCGAGTCAATCTCACTTATCTCACTATTTTTTTGGTAAAACTATTCTTTCATGCTTGGCACTGTCTGGTTTGGGGTCAATTCCATTCAAACTTCTAAACACCTAGTTTTTAACAGAAATGCCAAAAGCATTCTTCGCCATGCTAACTGTCCTTTAGATTCTGTGAATGGGGAGGTCTCTTCTGCCCTCCACTACTCTTCTCGTACTCTCTCTTGGGAAACAGCTTGAAACGTGAAGCTGCCGCCAGGACACCCTTCAGGCGGAAGACTTGAGTGTGGCTAAACGATAAGGAGCCGAAGCCACAGTGATATGGATTCGCCCAATAGTAACCTTAGAAGTGCCAGAGAGGACAAGCCCTTGCTGATATTTACACTGACATTTTCAACAGAGCCACCATCCTCCTATCAGCCCAAATAAATAGGAAAATCTGTACTGCCATTTTCAGGCTTCGGAGGGAAGAAATCTGTGTAATCATGCTTCTCCATGGGAAAAATATTAAATTCAGGAAAAAAATCATTATTCAGTTTACACATGTTTAACATGTTATAAAAACAAAGCTGAGGAAGTGAGAAAGAGGTGTAAGTTCTTTTGCTGATTTAAGCGGTTTTGTATTAATTATACTAAAACTGTTTTTAAAAACAGTTTTAGTATAATTAATACAGTTACTTTTTTGTGCTATATTCAAGGCATTTAGAGATTTAAAAGTTTTAAACGAGACTAGAAGAATAAAATCTAGCACAAGATACGGCCCCGTAATAGTGACATAGATGTACTGAACCCTCCTTTCGCCTCCCCACACCTTAAATCTTTCAACAACCAAGTTATAAAATGGAATTATTTTAGTAAGTCATCATCTGCATTTGTTTTTGCTACCAATGCAACAAAAAAGCCTCCACTTCTGATTTCCAATGAATCAGTATGACAGAATTTTTCTCCCCAGACCAAGTTTCGTTGCATTTCAAAAAGGGGAAACAATGATACCCAGAGTCCATTTCTTAGAAGCTATAACTTTCATGTTGGAAACTGGTTTCTTACCTTCGAAGAACTGCTGCAGGGCCTCCTTTTCACCTACCACATCCATGCTGTTGGGGTCCTAAGAATATTTCCTCATAGAACAAGGGTTCTCAGACCTCAGCAAGGAAGAGCTGTTCTTGAAGCCTACGAATGCTCTTGAAAAATCTTCATTTTCTTTTTATTGGAGTGAAGCATGTCTTTAGTCATCGGATTGTTCCCAGAAAAGATGGTTAAGTTCTTGAATATGATATTAAACCAGAAGGATATGCAAACGTGCAGTTGAAAAAGTTCATATAAAGGGAAGTGGTAGCAAATCCATCTATCTTTCTGTAGGAAACTGTTTCTACTCTGCCTCTTGTCTTTGTTTTAAAGACCTTTGCCCTTGGTGACACATGTAATTACATAAATGGGCAATAAATACATAGTCTTATCTCTTATTTGTCCTTTTACACCAATATATTTATATCTCTGTTTCTATCAACCAAATAGATTTAGCTACAGGCAAGCAAAATTCAAGTTTGGGGGTGATTTTCTTATAAAAAGGGGACCTAACTCAATAGCATCCGTTTTATAGATAGTTAAAAATAGCCGAAGATTTAAACAGGTCTGTGACAAGGAAAAGTTAGGATTTGCTAAATATTCCCAAATTTGTTCATAGCAAAAATTTACATTATTTTTATACCCATAGTCTGTTCCCTCTAGAGTTTAATACCTTTAAAGGTATAAACCAGGTCCTCCCTGGTGGCAGAATGGGTTAGGATGCAGCACTGCAAGCTAGCCACAGCTGCTTCAGTGAGAGTTTGATCCCTGCCCCGGAGTTGATCCACATGGCACAGCAGACCTCTCCTGACCCACCCGCTGCTCCCCTCAGCAGTGTACTTCATGGATCTGCCTGTTCTACTTCCCACTCTGTCTCTGGTGAATTGTCTGGCCTGTACCCCAGTTCTGTATGCATAAATAAATAAATCTTAAAGGAAAAAAAAAAAGGTATAAACCAGAGGCCCTCCCTGGTGGTGCAAGGGTGTTAAAACACAGCACTATGAAGCTATCCGCAGCCACTGCAGTTTGATCCCCAGCCAGGGAGGTGACCCACATGGCACGGCAGACCTCTCCTGTCTCCCATGCTGTTCCCCTCAGCAGTTTATTTTAGTCAATCTGCCTATTCTGTTCCACACTCTGTCTCTGCTGAATCATCTTACCCCCTTGTAAGTTCTTGTATGCATAAATAAATCTTAAAGAAAAAAATGTATAAACCAGAAAATGTGAGGCATCTACCCAGTGAGGGACAAAATCACATTTCTGATTTAGCAACTCTCACAGTCAAGTGAGGACTCACTCTTAGCTGGTCATACTAAATATCAATACCCAAATAAATTCTTTCCTTTCAATATTTAACTATTAATAGCTATTCATTTTGAAATAAGTATTTAATAATAATTACTTAATTAATAATAATTGCAATTATTATTGCATCATAGCCTAAGAAGAATATAGTCAATTACACAAATTCTTTCAAAGCTTTCCTTTTTTCCTTTTCTCCACTTTTTTTATTTTGAAAAAAAAAAATATTTAACTACAGGAAAACTGAAAGAATAGTATACCATAAAATATCTTTATACTCTTCATGTTGATTTCCTAATTGCTAATATTTTCCCACTTTGGCTTTCTTTTATATTGTTTGACACATTTCAAAATAAGTTGTGGGCCCTCCCTGAAGGGTTGGAGCGCTGTACTGAGAAGCTAAGCCAAGCCATGGCTGCTTCAGTGCGAGTTCTATCCCCGCCCCAGAGATGACCCACACGGCGCAGCAGACCTCTCCTGTCTTGAAGCTCCACTCAGCAGTGTACTTTGTAAATCTGCCTTTTCTGTTCTCCACTCTATGGTAAATCCTCTCGCCATCCCTACATCTCTGGCTGTACTCCATTTTTGTATGCATAAATAAATAAATCTTTAAAAATAATAAAAAATTTAAAAAGGTGTGTTGCTATAAAAACCACAAGGAGACACTGCTTCACAACCTGTGAGGATGGCCCTTGTTAAAAAAAAAAAAAACTCTGGTAAGAATGTGATGAAAATGTAATCCTCTCACACTACTAGCAGAAATGTAGACTTGTCCAATCCCTGTGGAAAAAATCATGAGGTTGCTCAAATATTAAACAATTATCTACCATATTAAGTCAGCAACTTCTTCCTAGAGCAGATTAGCCTGAGCAACGCAAAAACACCAGTAGAAGGAGCATGTACACACACAGGTTCAGTGCAGCCCTATTACAACAGTCAAGTATGGAAACTACCCAACACCCAAAAACAGATGAGAGGGTCAGAAAGATGTGGTACACATACAACGGAATACCGCTCCGCTATTAAAAAAGACAAACTCGGCCCTCCCTGGTGGCGCAGCGGGCTAAAGCACAGCACTGAGAAGCTAAAGCTGCTTCCGCATGAGTTCGATTCCCACTTGCCCTGAAGGTGACCACATGGCACATCAGACCTCTCCTGACTCGCCCACTGCTCCCCTCAGCAGTGTACTTCGTGGATCTGCCTGTTCTGTTCCCCACTCTGTCTCTGGTGAAGCCTCTTGCCGCCCCTGAGTCTCTGGCCTGTACCCCAGTTCTGTATGCAAAAATAAATCTTTAAATATATATAATATATATATATTATATATATATATAAACTCTTGCATTTGCAACAATATGGATGGAACTGGAGGGGGTTACCCCCAGCAAAGTAAGACAGCAGGAGAAAGACAGTACCAGATGGTATAACTTACATGTGGAACGTAGAGAAACAAAATAAAAGGTCATATAACGCCAAACTACTAGCACACCCTAGAAATCTGTTGGTAAAACTGAGGAAGGGGTGAGCAAGAACAAAGGGGGGAGGAAACAAAAAGGAAGTGGTGAGGAATCTGGGTGCTGGGGGGGTGGTGTAGTATACCTGAAGGGGAGATCTAGCCCTCTAATCACAGTGTTGTAACCAAAATTACCCCAATTAAAAAAAATTACAATAGGAAATAAAAATTGCTAATACTTTGCATTTTGCATTTTGCATGTCTCTTAACAAAGACATGCTTCCACATAAATGCACTATTAAAAGCATTAGGCTGACATGTAATATTAATTTAATACAAATATCTCATACATAATTTCACTACTGTCCCCAAAATAACTTTTGTCCCTGTTTGTAATCAAGGATCTAATGAATGTTCATGCATTGACTTTGGTTATGGTTTTGCTTATTTGATTGTTTATTTTTAGGATAGCATACTCTCCGTGTCATTTTGGTTGGATGGCTTGTTATCTATGATAACACATTTTTTAATAATCTAGGTCTACTGTCTTATAGAAGTCTCACATTCTGAATTGTCGGCTCCATTAGTGTTAGAATGAGTATAAGCTATGTGATATATACATCTTGATGAGTATGTTGAACTTTACACACATTTTACCTGCTACACAAAAATGTAACATTCTTATAAAATCATTCACAAACTGAGATGTTGTTAATTATTGTAATTAACATTAATTTATATGGAAAAAATTAGTGTTTCCAGCCCCCAAAATAACTTACAAATCGTACCTAATAACGCATACCTTTGAAATGGCACTAACATATAGTAAAAGCAGCAATCATATGACAAATAACATTACTAAAGAGTATTAAAGAGGGCTTCCCTGGTGTCACAAGGGGTTAAGTGTTAGCGTTAGAAAGCTATTGCCAGCCATTATAGCACTGAGTCCCACCAGGGACTTGACTCACATGGGAGGCAGACCTCTCCTGGCCCCGCCCGCTGCTCCCCTCA